GACCAGTGTGCGGCTGCCTTGCTTGTGCTGTGCCTCAATTTACAGGCTACACTACCTGTGGGACCCCTAGCCTGTGGACTGTGTTGCTGTAAGTTGAGGTCCCTTTAAGGCATCTCTGGAGCTGGGGACTGGCAGTTGGTGACCTGGCTGACAGTTGGTGACCTGCCTTGTGATTGGCTGCTGTGCTAAGATAGCCTAGCTCTCTCTATATATAGAGGAAGACCTGGCAGCAGATTAGACTTGAAGGACTGCTAGTGTCTCACAACTCTCTCATGGGAGTGAGTTGCACTGAGCCATTTGTAGTGCTTTATAACTTAATTGTTCATTTCTTGTATTATATATCTATCGGTATATGATTTAACAGCTCATTTCTTGTTATACATCTAATTACCTTTATAAATAAATATATTAAATTATCAGCAATTTGGTTTTATCTCTCTAGAGAACCCTGTCTAACACAGAATCTTTCCTATATAAAGGTCTCACGGGTGCAATTTCTCTCGAGTGCCCTGACTCAGACATCCAAACTGGATTGCTGGCTGTGGTAGGTCCCCAAATGAATCCCTGCAGCCCATGTTCTACTGCTCCAACCCGACCGTGGCCTAGCTCCCGGACAAAATTTGACAGCACCGAGAAAGCACTGAGCTCAGTGCCCAAGGCACAGGAAGGGCCTTGCCTGCTCCCAGCTCCCAGTGTAGGAGTCAGGAGGCGGAGGGCTGGGCTGCATTGAGGAAACCCGCTCGTTCCACCACACATTCTTGTCTCTGTCCCTGCAAACCCTTTCTCTGGTCCTCACCCACATCTGGGTTGGCAGGGTTCTGCCTCACTGCACATTCTGGCAACCCTGAGAGCCCTCAGGTGTACCAGCGGGGAGGGGGAGGGCACCAGGGGCCCCACCCCCACCCTGGGTGGAAGAAACTCCTGCCCACCAAGCATCCTCCAGGCCCTGGGAGGCCAGTGCTTGGGAGTGTGGCCCAGGCCACCTGGGGGCTGCTAACTTTGAGGAAATCACACAGGGCCGCACATTTTTGGTCATGGTCTGAGTGAACACCAATGGGAAGATTTTCCATTTGTTTGTTCTGCAACCTGAACGCCCCTCCCCTGCAGGCAGGCTGAGCACTGCTAGTGTTTGGGCTGGCAGGAAGGGTTGGACCTCCCCCTGAGACCACACATCCTGGAGCTGTCAGGGCTGGTCTTCCCAAGACAGCAACAAGACTCTAAGAGCCCCAGCCAGCAGTTGCCAGAGGGGTGTTCTGTCTCCTCTGCTCGGCCCCAGCTCCCTGGAACTACTGAGGGCCCCTGCTGGTGGGAGGGGCGGTGCTTCTCCATGCCCACCCTGTCCTGGGGGCAACGGCAAGAGACCATCACTGGGCTGGTCCTACAGGGTCTAATGTCCTGACAGAAGCCCCAGAAAAAGCAAAGAAAGAAACCCGGCCCATACCTTTTCTAGCCTGTCTGTCTGCCAGTCTGTCTGCCAGTCTGCCTACCTGTCTGCCCTTCCCTCTCCCTCTCCCTCTCTCTCTCACACACAGTCACATCGACACACTCCACTCTTTTCCAATCTCGTCTTATAAAATTGGTTAGATCATCCAAACAAAACCTGCATTCAGCTCTGGGGTCTCTCGACTGCTCTGATGGGACATGCGGCTGGGGTCTCCGAGGGAGCACGGCTCTGGACACCATGTGTGCAGAGCCCCCGGAGGGGCTTCAAGCCTTCCCTGCACTACAGGACTCCATGCCGGGAGGAGTCTCATGAGGCTCTTGGGACTGAAGGGCCGAAGTTGGAAAGGGGATGAGCTGACACCCGTGAGTCCGGGGCTTCCAGACCGCAGAGGGCAGCTCTGGGGCCCTTGGCCCTTGGCCATGCCCCACCCCACCCACCACCGCAGCTCTTACACTCCAAATGCTGCCCACTCACTTTCTCCTCACTGCATCCCTCCGGGTTCATCCCACCCACCCTGTCCTGATGCACCCAAGCCTGGCCATCAGAAACGGACGCAGGGGACCCCGTTCTCAAAAAACCAAAGCCGCAAATGTGGTGAAGAAAGCTGATGGTGCCCGGCTATCAAAAAGTATAACGTCTGGGGTCTTAAAGGCTTGAAGGTAATCAAGCGGCCATCTAGCTCAGAAGCAACAAAGCCCACATGGAAGAAGCACACCAGCCTATGCAACCACGAGGTGTCGAAGGGATCAGGTGTAAGGCATCATCAGAACAAAAAATCTTACCATAGTGAATGATGGGGGGAGTGCAGAGTGGAGATCCAAAGCACATTAGTAGGCCACTGGAGATCCCCTTGCAGAGGGGTCTCGGGGAAGAGATGAGCCAGTCAGGTTGCGATGTAACAATGATGAGAAATACAACCTTCCTCTAGTTCCTAAAGGTTTCCTCCCCGCTCCCACTACCATGACTCGAATTCGATCTTGCAAGACTGGCTAGACCAGAGGAGGTACACTGGTACAGATAGGAACTGAAAATACAGGGAATCCAGGATGGATGAGCCCTATAGGACCAGTGGTGTGAGTGGCAAAACAGGGAGGGTAAAGGGAGAATGGGTAGGAAAGAGGGAACCGATTACATGGAACTGTGTGTGACCTCCTCCCTGGGGGACAGACAACCGAAAAGTGGGTGAAAGGAGACGTCGGACAGGGCAAGATATGACAAAATACCCATTTATAAACTATCAAGGGCTCATGCGGGAGGGGGGAGCGGGGAGGGAGGGGAAAATGAGGACCTAATGTCGGGGGTTTAAATGGAGAGAAAATGTTTTGAGAAACGATGTACAAATGCGCTTTACACAATTGATGTGTGTATGGATTGGGATAACAGTTGTATGAGCCCCTAATAAAATGTTAAATAAATAAATGTTTAAAAAAAAAAAAAACCAAAGCCATTGCCAACTAGCCAGATGCCACTCATAGGGAGCGATGCCCTGTGTCATCACCAAGGGAGCTGCTCCACGGGGGCTTTCTGGGCACGGATTGCCCGGCCTTTCTTCTGCGGTGCTGCTCGGTAGGTTCGAACCACCCACTTACAGGTGAGCGGTTGAGCACAAACCATTTGCACCACCCAAAGAACAGAGCCAGTCTACTGGAGACCGGCCCCGTGTGCGGATGCACCGAGCCCCTCCCTCAGCAGACCCCCCTTCCCCCCAGTGTGTCTGGTGTCTGGATGTGGGGTAGCGGCCTTCTCCACTCCCGGGCCCGCTCCACGACTGCACGCATCGGGCAGGCAGGCACACTAGGTCTTCCTAGGCACGCTAGCACGGCCCACGATCCCTGCTCTGTCTTCACACTCTCCTGGCGCTGGGCTAAACAGAAAGCCCCTCCAGGGGCGCTCCGCAGCAGCTGAGCTGAAGGAAAGCTGCCACTGGCTCGCTCTCTCTCTCTCCTGGCTCTGGTCCTCAGCTGTCCCACCCGATCCTTCAGGGGGACTTCTCCCAGCTCACCACAAAGAGAAGCGGCCTTCACAGGACTGAAGTTAGTCCAAACCAGATCCCAGAACCTGCTCTGGTTGCTTCAGCCTCTCGGGAACCCCACCGCCCGGCCTCCGCCACAGCACCAACGCCGGGGCTCACCTGACCCCCATCTTGCAGTCCATCACGCAAGGTGAGTCGAAGTCGGCCAGCAGGTCATCCATCTGGTTGTATCGCTCGCCATCCTTCACCACATCCCCGTGGTAGGCGGGCACGAAGGGCTTCAGCACATCGGTCATCAGCTGGTCCAGGCACCGCTGCTCCGACTCGCAGTGTTTCTTCAGGATGCGGCCATTGGCCGCTGCCTTGAAGCTCCCTGCAGACGAGGCAGGGGCAGCTCTGTTGGTCCCCGGGGGGGGCAGCCAGACCCCCTCGCAGCACAGTCCCAAGGCCTCTCTGGGGACGTGCTCCGGGCGGAAGTTCCCATGTCCCCACCCTGAGTACGAGGGTCAGTGACAAGCGGTGGGCAGCCTATAAAAGTCGATTATTCCACATGGCCTCTTAAGTGGGAAGAGACTGAGAAGGAGAGGTGGGGACAGAGAGAAGGGGAGGTGATACCGACTATGGAAGGGGCAGCCACCCATGGCCAGGGTTCTGGGCACACTGTGGCCGCCATTCCAGGTGACAAAGCCTCTCCGTGAAAAACGCATAGGGTAGCAGTTCTCAACCTGTGGGTCGCGACCCCTTCTGGGGTTGAATGGCCCTTTCACAGGGGTCGCCCGATTCATAACAGTAGCAAAATTACAGCTATGAAGTAGCAATGAAAATAACCTTATGGTTGGGGGTCACCACCACATGAGGAACAGTATTAAAGGGTCGCGGCATTAGGAAGGTTGAGAACCACAGCTGTAGGGGGATTTCCCACCCAGGGGCTACATTGTCCTTGCCCAAGTTTGCTTCCCCGCACCCATCTCCGACAAGTCGTCCCAGTGGGAAGCACCTACCTGCATGCCCTGCGAGCTGGATCCAGGGGTACTTCTTCTTGAAGGACATGACGAAGGGAGACCAGTGCACCATGTTTTTGATCTTCCTCCATGATTTGCTCTAGAAACAAGCAGGCAATGCTCCGTTAGAGAGAAGCCCACTACTTCCTAGGATGGGCTCGCGGCAAGTAACTCGCTGCCCCTGTCACCAAACCGAGCAGTGCCCTGAATGACCACCGACACGGTGGGCCCTCAGTGGGCTGAGAGGGACGCCACCCCTCACTCTCTAGATGCAGCCAGAGATCTTCCACGATCATGGTCTGACAGGCTGAAGGTCCAGGTGGTGGGGGCAGACTGTTCTCGGTATGATCAGCGCCGGCCCCTGTTCCGTGCCACCTCCCTGTCAGGGAAACACTGACGAAACGGTGTGACCCCCCCTTGTCCTTCCATGTGGTCCCTCCGTGGGCCTCGGCTGCCTACCTGTCCTACGAAGGACGGGGGGGCTGGGCCATCAGATGCCTTGGACTGATGGACACTCCAGGACTCTGGAAAATAGCCTCCCTCACCCCCAACCTGAGCGCAGCACCAGAGGGCCGCACTGCCCAGCTGGGACGCAGAGGTTCACGGTGTGCGTGCGGAAGCACGCCTGTGGGCCGTCTGAGGAGCGTTCCTGACGGGGACAGCCCCGAGGCCAGGTCACCAAGGCACACACCAGGGTCCTGAGAACCACAGTGACAGGTGACACAGCCACAGGTTTCCCTCCTTTGCTGTGCCGTCTCTGCCGCCTCCGCTCAGGATGCTTCTTGCGTGCAGACAGCCAGGACTGTCAGTCCGTCCGTGTGTGCGTGTGAGGGAAAGGGGCATGGGGATGTGTGGATGGACGGGGGGCTGGATGCTCCCACACTTCTGGACACCCACCCTGTTTTATTTTGACAAGCATTCCAAGGAGAGACCACGACTTGTACTTTGTTGCGCCTGAGACGAGGACTTGGTAGACGAGGCTAGACTCACTCAGTGCTTCTCCCCCTTCCTTAGCCACAGCTCTTTATTACAGTTCCTCAAGGGGTGGTGACCCCCAACCAGAAAGTGATTTTCCTTGCTACTTCATCACTGTCATTTTGCTACTGTTATGAGTCGTCATGTAAATATCTGATATGCAGGATGTATTTTCTTTTTTTTTATGTCTTTTTCCCCACCTCCCTGTACTTTCTTTCTTTTTTTTTAATCGTTTTATTAGGGGTTCATACAACTCTTATCACAGTCCATACACACATCAATTGTGTAAAGCACATTTGCACATTCATTGCCCTCATCATTCTCAGAACATTTGCTCTCCACTTAAGCCCCTGGCATCAGGTCCTCATTT